CAAAGTGTGCCAAGAAAAAATCCTCACACCATTACACCACCACCACCACCACCACCAGCCTGAACAATTGATACAAGGCAGGATGGATCTATGCTTCTGCTGGTGTAGCCCATCTGCCTCACGGTTGGATGTGTTGTGTGTTCAGAGATGCTCTTCTGCATACCTCAGTTGTAACGAGTGGTTATTTGAGTCACTGTCTTTCTATTAGCTGGAAGGCATTTGCGCCCATGGAACTGCCACAGAATGGGATATTTTCTCTTATTCGGGCCATTCTTTGTAAACCCTAGAAATGGTTGTGAGTGAAAATCCCAGTAGATCAGCAGTTTCTGAAAAACTCAGACCAGCCCATCTGGCACCAACAACCATGTCACATTCAAAGTCGCTTAAATCACCTTTCTTCCCCATTCTGATGCTCTGTTTAGACTGCACCAGATCATCTCAACCATGTCTATATGCCTAAATACTTTGATTTGCATGTGATTGACTGATTAGAAATTTGCGATAACAAGCAGGTGGACAGGTGTACCTAATAAAGTGGCCGGTGAGTGTATGTTCTATATAAATCACACAGTACTTTCACTATAAACTTAGCTGGACCTAAATTAAAATGGACTTTGCCTCCGCTTTTGTTGATTATGTTTAGGTTAGTCGTTTGTGGTTTCTCTGTGTTCTTGTCAGGAAGAAGAATACAAGGGTTACATGAGATTATTGTATCACTGCATTAAAGCGTCAGTTCCATCTGCATGCTGAATAGAGGGTTGTCGTCCGGCAGTGGTCTGTTTTCCTCTTATTCTCTGTTTAAATGAAGCTGAATTTGCTCCAGTCGCCTGTCAACATGAGCAAAGATAAACACAGAAAAAAGTGATGAAATTTAAGATTGAAAATCAAGAGGAACGAGCGCGGCGGAGGCTGTTGTTATCCCCGCAAAAACAGAGCGAAACGCAGGCTTAACTTCAGGGAAATTCTGCACACAATTACAAGTTTCGCAGACACTTTTCTTTTTATGTGTGTCTGTGTGTGTGTGTGTGTGTGTGTGTGTGTTTCAGACTGATGTCCTCCTTCCTCCCCATCTTTGTCTCCTTAATGCTGGGCTCTCTGGTAAAATAAATGCAGCAGACAAGAGTTCAAAGCTGCATTTGATGTTGTATTTGCTGAGAGGAGAATTGAACAAAAGCTCTGAAAGCCTCTCTGGCTCCTGTGCCGGTGGTCTGCTGGTAATCACATCGCTGAGGAAAGGCCAGGGGGGGGGCGTGGGTTATTAGAAATGCTGTAGAGGACAAAGACGCGGGTGAGAGGCTTTTATTGACACTCAGCTTGATTGGCCGGTGGGTTCACTCGCAGATCTCCCTTGCTGATTTTGGGGCAAAAGATTTTTGTCAAGAGGTTAAAACTTCTTGCTTTTTTTCACAACACATGCAAAATAACTTTAGAGAATATTATTTTTATCATAAAAATAGTGTAGTTGGTACAAGAAAGCTCTTATTGGCTGCATAGAAACATCTCTTAATTAACATTTTATTCATATTTTGTAATCCATGCATGATTTTTATTTATTTACACATTCAAATTAATTATCCCATATAGAAAAATGACAATATAAATCACGTGTCAATTACAAGACTCGCGGGCCAAATGTGGCCCGTCAAAACATTTAATCAGGCCTGACAACAAGTTTTGGTAATGAAGTTCAACTGGCCCGTGCTCACTTTCAATATTAGGTCTGTGACAATGACAATATTGAGACGCAGGTGGTGATGTTGCGCTTTACCATACTTACTAATTTTGACGTTAGCATAACGTTACACTAAATGTAAACAATTCAAAATATTTCTAGCAGTGGCGCAAAAAGGGAGAGGGTGCTCGCTGCAGAGCTATTTGAGTAGAGCTGAGCTCCAGCGAGGGGGAGCATGAGCTCTCGCTCCTCCTCCTGTAAGCTGTTTTTATGCGTACACCAACCCCACCCCTAACCCTACCCCCAGTGACATCACTTGTAGAAGAAGTGCAAAAAAGGTGGAGCTCAAGCTCAGCTCGCCCAAATGGCTCTGCAGCGAGCACCACTTGCAAAAAGGGGGTATGCAGTATATGCGGCGCATAGGGGCGCCACACATGGGGGGCGCCATTTTGCCAAAACTATTTTTGAAATTATCCATATTAAAAGTTTCAAATAATATATATATATTTTGTTAAAAAATTTTATTTAGCATTTTATGCGCGTATAATATTGTATTTTATTAAATTAAAAAATCATTCCACCCCTCCCCCCCATTTTTCATACCATATACATATTTTTATGAATTTATTATGTATCATATTGATTCATCAGGCCTTTTGGTAACTTCTTAGCTCAAAACTATTTTAATTGTAGCTACAAACAAAGTTATAACATTTCAATTAAATAGAACATTTCACACAGTTTGTTTCTGTTTTTTTGTACACTAAACATTTGACAGTCTTTTTTATTTCACTTTTAGAAGTTTCAGTCAATTGTTCTTGCAAAAACAGACCTAACACTTCTCACAGTATGCATGTGAGAAGTAATTGCAATGTTCTTTTGCCCATTAGGACTCCCATGTCTATCATTTTGTTTTGACAAATGTAGTACAAAAAGTCCAAAAGCAAGGCTAGTCAAGGTGCTATAATCATTTAGTGAGGGAAAATTAAATTGAGAAGAAATTTGGGGTGGTATGAGATGCATTTCTTTGCGACTTAACATGCTTAATGTAATTATACCTTTTAGTACTTTAAAAAATACAGTTTCGCAGTTCTGAACACAACTGAAATAGTATGAAGCATATTGATATCTTTATGAAAAAATATCTATAATTTATTGATGGAAATATTTTCCACATTTTATCACTTGCCTGTTTTAAAATATAGTTGGATTGAAGGGGGGCGCGCAAAAGTTGAAGCCGCATACCCATCAGTAAATGTGCAGTTGCACCCCTGAATTCTAGGACTAGCACAATGTCAAAAAAAAACGCCTCACAGACCACCATATTAGGTTTGAAATCCACAAGTTCAGAGTTGTAGGCATCGACATTTGGCATGGATCATTTCATGATTAGGTTGCCTTTTTAAAGCTAAAAGACTAAGTTCAATAAAACAATATCAGAAACCATCTGTTGCTTGTTACAATGTGATATATCAGTTGTTGAAATTTTGTTTCATCATCAGTTTTTCTGAATATGAAATTGTTTTAAAGGTAGACCACTGTTCTATGCTAGCCTACTGTACTGTTTTATGCTTATAATGGTTAGAGACCTTATTTCAAGTTGTGATAGAGATAAAAACCTGCTGTGACACAAATTAAATGTAAAACTTTACTATTTTGATAAATGTGATTTATGAAGTGATATAGAGATGTTATACAGTTAGTACACTTTCATTTTTTCCAATAAATATTTATATTTTTTTAATGTGTGCACCCCTAACCAAGTTTGGATTTGACACCCCTGATATAAAGCATGTATTATTAATTATATAATATAGTATATAATAAACATGACTTTCATAGTTTATATTTGGATTTTACATAAATAAAATATCTGTTATATATGAAGCATACATTTTTAAATGATAAGAAAAAAAGGCTGGTATATACAGGATTTGGACATTGAAACTAAAACACCTGGTTTTAGACCACAATAATTCATTAGTATGGTGCAGGGCCTTTTTTTGCTGCTGATACAGCATCTTGGGAATGACAGATACAAGTCCTGCACAGTGAGCAGAGGTTTTGATTTTGAGTCATTCTCCTTGCAGAACAGTGGCCAGGCCACTATGTAATGCTCAGGAAAACATTTCCTTTTTTGCTTCTCCAAAACACCCTAAAGTGACTCAATAATATTTAGATCTGGTAACTGTGCAGGCCATGGGAGATATTAAACTTTACTTTCATGTTCATTAAATCACTCTGTCATGAGTCTTGCTGTGTGTATTGGTGCATTATCATTCTGATACATGGCACCACCTTCAGGACACATTGTTTGACCAGTTGGCTGCACATGGTCCTCCAGAATGGTTCGGTAGTCCTTGGCAGTTGCATGCCCATCTAGAACAAGTATTTGGTCTAGGGAATGCCAGTATATTTAATCAATATTTTCCCATATTTTGTAATCCATGCAATAATTCATTATTGTGCTGTAGAGCCTCCTTTTGTGGCCAATATAGCATCAGTTCATCTTGGGAATGACAGATACAAGTCCTGCACAGTGGGCAGAAGGATTTTGAGCCATTCTTCTTGCCAAATAATGTCCTGGTCAATATGTGAAACATTTCCTTACTCGTTCCTCTAAAACACTCCAAAGTGTCTCAATAATATTTAGATCTGGTGACTGTGCAGACCATTGATCAATTTTACTTTCATGTTCTTCAAACCAATCTGTAATGAGTCTTGATCTGTGTATTGATGCATTATTATTCTGATACATGCACCGTTTTTAAAATATATTGTTTGAATCATTGGGTGCACATGATCCTTGAGAATGGTTCAATAGTTCTTGACAGTAATGTGCCCATCTAGCACAAGTATTGGGCCTATGGAATGCCAATATATTTCAGGCCAAACCATCTCTGATCCACCTCCATATTTCATTCTGAGTTTGCAGCCATCTGGGTGGTAAGCTTTTTTGGGGCTTCTCCATACCATGACTCTCCTGGATGTGGGAAAAAGTGAAAGTGGACTTTCTATGTATCATAACATTTCTGAGGAAAAAATGTGCATTGTAGTTTCCACAAAAATATTAAGGAGCACAACTATTTTGAACATTTAGATTATTGGAGTGAGTCTTAAATGTCATGTGATACTGGAGAAATATGCTAAAAATTCAGTTTGAATCGAATAAAAAGTTACGTTTTTAAATATTCTAAAACAAATGTTATTTTAATTTGCATTAGCACTTCACAGTTTTGCTCTTTTTTACTGTATTTTGATGAAATTAAAGCAGCTCTGGTGACTTTGGTTGACTCATAACACTCGTTTTTTTGTGTTTTCTCTGCAGAAATGCATGAAGTTTAATGTGGAGTCGCCCATCTGGTTGTCTAAACAGCGAATCCTCTGCACACTCAACCAGAGCCTGAAGGATGTGCTGAACTACGGACTCTTTCTGCCTGCGTACAACGGCAAAGCTGGCAAATTCCTAGACGAGCAGCGCACACTGAAAGAATACCCGCTTCCCGCAGTCTCTCCTGTCCCGTACCTGGAGGTGAGAGCTCTTCTCTGACCTGTGTGAAGGAATGATTTAGTGGCTTTTAAAATAATTCTGCTGAGATTTATTTCGATAGGATTTGTTACAAATTGCCGTGCCACAGGATTCATTGCTAAGTTGCTAGTTCAGGTTCATTAAGGAAGCTAAATAATGCACATCCAGCTGGTTGTTATCGCAGAATAAACCCTCAGGGGGGTTTCTTCTGTGATAACAACAGACTCGATGTGCACTGTAAAAATATCAGTAAATTAACAGCTTTCCATATTTTGCGATTCATCTTTTTTGAGGATTTTGAATCAACTTTTGATGATAAAAAGTTTCAAAAGTTGATTTTATTGACATTTTTACACAGCGGATGCTCTTCCAGCCGCAACCCATCTCTGGGAAACATCCACACACACATTCACACACACACTCATACACTATGGACAATTTAGCCTACCCAATTCACCTGTACCGCATGTCTTTGGACTGTGGGGGAAACCGGAGCACCCGGAGGAAACCCATGCGAATGCAGGGAGAACATGCAAACTCCACAAAGAAACGCCAACTGAGCCGAGGCTTGAACCAGCGACCTTCTTGCTGTGAGGCGACATTACTACCTACTGCATCACTGCTTTGCCCATGTTCAAATCAGATGTCGTATATTGGTTTTAAACCAAGTTTCAAGAGTTTACACTTAGCTGATGATTGATAATAAAGCTAGTTTGGCTTGCTGTCCTGGGAGAGAGCCCTGAGCTTATAAGATCCTCGAGCCCTGGGCTCCCTCCCGTTGCAAGGCGAGAGGGGAGTTTGAGCTCAGGTAGATCTCGATGACTCCCCCTCTTGCTTGTTGTAGCTAAGTGTCAGATATGGATGCTGAAAGGTGTACTCAGAGTTAAGCTAAAGTATTTAGATTAATTGCTTAGAGTGCTTGTTTTTGAACTGTGGGAGGAAACCGGAGGACCCGGGGAAAACCCACGCGACCACGGGGAGAACGAGCAAACTCCGCACAGAAATGCTGTCTGGTTTGGAAAGGAATTAAACCAGGGGCATTCTTGCTCTGCGGCAACAGCGCTAATCGCTGGCCACCGTGACGCCCGTTTGAAAGGAGGGAAAGGAGGGTTGGGTGGGGGGGTTTCTTTAAGACGAAGATATTGAGATGAGAAAAGTCTGGTTATTTATAGTGAGTTAAGGATCGTCTGATAGGATAATCAGTCGTTAGCTAAAGTTGGAACAGGTGTGAACAATCATAAGCACGTGATCCTCTCGAAATTTCTTTATAAATAAACTTCACAAAGGTCATACAATCTGACAAAGTTGTATACTGAAGGTATAGTTCAATCAAAGATTTATTATTTTTATTGGGTCGACATGGTGGCTCAGTGGTTAGCACTCTCGCCTCACAGCAAGAAGGTCGCTGGTTCGAGTCCTGGCTGGGTTAGTTGGCGTTTCTGTGTGGAGTTTGCATGTTCTTCCCGTAGTGGCGTGGGTTTCCTCCAGGTGCTCTGGTTTCCACCAGTCCAAGGGCATGCGCTATAGATTAATTATATAAACTAATTTGGCCATAGTTTGAATGTGTGAATGAGTGTATGGGTGTTTCCTTGTACTGGGTTGCAGCTGGAAGGTCATCCACTGTGTAAAACATATGCTGCATAAGTTGGCAGTTCATTCCGCTGTGGCGACCCCTGATTAATAAAGGGACTAAGCCGAAGGAAAATCAATGAATGAATTATTTTTATTTATTCAACTTCAACACATCCAAGATGCTGATTAGAGCTGCACGAATAATTGAAAAAAAGATTGCGGTCTCGATTCGGCCCTACACACGATCTTTATTAGGCTTTTCTACGATTCATCAAATTATATTTTCAAGGTCAGGAGAGAAGCATAAAGGCAAACGCACAAATCTTCACAGCAACATGGACAGCTCCAAATGGCGTTAAAAGTGTCACATACTCTATTTATAAGGTATAATTCACCCAAAAATGTAATTTCTGTCTTCATTTAATGATGTATAATGTAATGATGTATTCTCTGGAATACTCTCAAGCAATGGACGTCTGCATTTTGACTGGTTGCCGTCGAACCGTGTCACAGCTCATTACCATAAAGTTGACTCGATATTAGCTCTCCTCAATGCCCACACCGGCGAACATGCACCTCACCGCTGCTTGACGCTTATCGTCACTGGCTCACATTGAAAATGAATGACTTCCAGCTACTTTGATGCTCTTGCCGCTTTTGATGTGAATGCACAGTAAATTAGGACTGAGGTTTCATTTTTGGGTAAACTATCCCTTTAAAGATTATGTATTACTGAAACTGTGGAATTTGATGATTCATAAATTACCATCTACAACCAGAAAACTACTAGCAGTAAAAAAATCAAACATGCTAGCAACATTACACTAACACCCATGGCTCCTGATACAGTACATTATTGAAGCATTTTGAAGATTTGGTTCTCTGCAAGAAATGGTACATTATGCGTATTAATGTATGAATATAAATGTGAGAATATAAAATGTTTCAATCCTTTCTAAGAGGTAGATACCCCCCAAATCCTGCTATAATTCACACCCTGGCCTTGACACTCAACATACGCGACAATAAAATAAAAGCTTGGCTTGCTAACAGTGTGTTCAGCAGATCTCATTTTGGCGTCTTGCCGTCCTGAGTACAGTATATCTCTGTTGTTCCTTCCATTTATGTCATCCTGTGCGGTCAGGAATACTTTGATTATCATTTCACCTGATTTATCAATCCAGTTTTGACTTTTGGGAGCCGTGAAGAAAACAGCATTTGAGCGAGAGAGGAAACAAGAGTCGGCTTCTGAGAAATGGCCGAAAGCAGATAAATGACAGAAAGAAATCATTGGCATTATACAGTTAGACATTTTCTGCTGAATTTGGAGCTGTACTGAATTTATTATGAGTGTCTCCTAAGTGCCATTAACCATGACAAGCAGGAATGATCATCTCGACCTGTTTGCCATCAGTTAAAGACACACATCTATATTAGCTTTCAAATATCTACAGTATGATTCTGTTATAGACTTATGCAACCTATAAATCCTCTGTATTGTACTGATTGCCTGGGAACCACTTGATCTATCTATCTATTTATCTATCTATCTATCTATCTATCTATCTATCTATCTATCTATCTATCTATCTATCTATCTATCTATCTATCTATCTATCTATCTATCTATCTATCTGTCTATCTGTCTGTCTGTCTGTCTGTCTGTCTGTCTGTCTATCTATCTATCTATCTATCTGCTGTTCCATCCATCCATCCAACCATCGTTCCATCCATCCTTCCATCCCTCCCTCCATCCCTCCTTTCCTCCATCCATCCATCCATCCCTCCATCCATCCATCCATCCATCCATCCATCCATCAGATGGATGGCATAAAGTATGCAGGTACATTTAACATCAGAAAATTTGCTCGTTACTTTTGTCAAAAGCGAGTGTTAAACACTTATAAAATACTCCGTACTGATGAGGAAAAATCTAAACATTCACTGACAAAAAAGATGACCTTGTAATTTAGTAATTACAGCTCATTTTTGACCCAAAGGGTGAACAATACCCAACAGGCACACAACGTCATAAGATGTTAATATTAGGTTAGATTTAGGTTGTGACATCAGGTGACCAAAATTCAATGTCTAGCCAGCGTCTAAGGACAACACTATTTTGATGTCCAATCACAACATTGATGTTTTGTTGATTTTAGGTTGTGTTAAAAGTGCCTGATAAACGTCATAATGCTAACATCCCCACAACATCCAGCTGTAAAATCATTATAGACATTGATTTTAGGTTGTTTTAGAAAATGACCAAGTCCAACAATGTAATGTCCACACAACATCCAGCTGGAACATCATTATAGATGTTGATATTTGGTTAATTTATGGTTGTTTTGGAAAGTGACCAAAATCCAACGTTGAGCCAACATCTTAAACCAACATCATGTTGACGACTAATACTGACATTTATTTGTCAGGTATGGGAACCAAAATCCAACATCTTGTAGACATGATAGTGTAATGTCCACACAATGTTACGCTGTAACATCATTATAGACGTTAATATTTGGTTGATTTTAGGTTGTTTTTGAAATTGACTAAGTCCAACTTCCAGCCAAAATCTTAAACTAGCGTCACATTGACGTCAAAGACTGACATTTATTCATCAGGCATGGCAACCAAAATATAATGTCTGATAGACATCATAGTGGTAATGTTCACACAACGTCAAGCTGTAACATCATTACAGATGTTGATATTTGGTTGATTTTAGGTTGTTTTGGTAAGTGACCAATATCCAACGAGCCAAAATCTTAAAACAACGTCATGTTGGCGTCAGACACGTTTATTCATCAGGTATGGCAACCAAAATCTAACGTCTAATAGACATCATAGTGTAACGTCCACACAACATCAAGCTGTAACATCAATATAGACTTTGATATTTGGTTGATTTTAGGTTGTTTTGGTAAGTGACCAATATCCAACGAGCCAAAATCTTAAACCAACGTCATGTTGGCGTCAGACATGTTTATTCATTAGGTATGGCAACCAAAATCTAACATCTAATAGACATCATAGTGTAACGTCCACACAACATCAAGCTGTAACATCAATATAGACGTTGGTATTTGGTTGATTTTAGGTTGTTTTGGAAAGTGACCAATATCCAACGAGCCAAAATCTTAAACCAACGTCATGTTGGCGTCAGACGTGTTTATTTGTCAGGTATGGCAACCAAAATCCAATGTCTAATATACATCATAGTGTAACGTCCACACAACATCCATACAACGTCCACACAACATCAAGCTGTAACATCAATATAGACAATGATATTTGGTTGATTTTAGGTTGTTTTGGAAAGTGACCAAAATCCAACATTGAGCCAAGATCTTAAACCAACCAATATTTATTCATCTGGTATGGAAACCAAAATCCAACGTCTGGTAGACATGATAGTCTAATGTCCACACAAT